ATACACAGGCACACTGACACATACACACACTGACACACACAGAGTGATACACAGACACACTGACACATACATAGACTGATGCACACACAGAGTGAGACACAGACACACTGACACACACACAGACTGATACACACACAGAATGACGCTGACACACACACCAGAGGGATGGGGTTGGCGCCCGTTGCTTTCAGTGCGTTGATGAAGCTACTCGGAGTGAGTGTGGGCTCGGTGCGGCCACTCTGCCCACGGTGGCTGGGGCTAGGAGCCAGCTGGGGAGGGGGCAGGGCTGAGGGTGATGTCCTGCCTGGAGTCACTAATCCCCGGTGCTAGAGCGGGACACAGCACTCTCTTTGTCCCCCCAGGGGGATGGGGTGGTTGAGGAAGTGGGGTGTGGGGTTGGGGTGGGGACGGGGGGAACGTGCTTTGCTTTTGGATACATTCTGACACCATCTCGCTTCAAATGATCCATCCGCCAAACTTTTTGGCGGCGCGGCAGCAAAGCAGTGCGCATGTGCGAAGGTGTCTAAACTGACAATGCGGGAGAGATAGCGAGTCCGGATTGAGAAAGAGAGAGAGAGAGAGAGAAAGAGGAAGAGAGAGAGAGAGAGATCGAGAATCCCCAGCAGCGCCGGATACAGCACCATGAGATCCAAAGGCAGGGCTCGCAAACTGGCCACAAGTAGGTGCATTAGCCCATTTCTCTGTGCTTTTCCCCTCTCTGCCATTTTGTCTTACTCTGTGTGTGTGTTACTGAGTGTCTGTGTGTGTTACTCAGTGTGTGTGTGTGGTACTGAATGTGTGTGTGTTACTGAGTGTGTGTGTGTTACTGTGAGTGTGTGTGTGTTACTGTGTGTCTGTGTGTGTTACTGAGTGTGTGTGTGTTACTGTGTGTCTGTGTGTGTTACTGTGTGTCTGTGTGTGTTACTGTGTGTGTTACTGAGTGTGTGTGTGTGTGTGTGAGAGAGAGAGACAGAATCGGTATGGGGGTCCCATCCACGCAGGCTGCTGAACCTGCCGTGCAGAGCTCAGTACAGCCTGTGGAACCTCATCCCGAGGCAGCTCCAGAATGGCATTGCCAAGTCCCCTTCCTCCCCCACACCCACACCCCCACCCCCACCCCCTCTCTCTTACCCCACTTCTGGCTGCACTTTCCGCATCCGGAGGCTGTTGCTTTCCCAGTGAAAGGCTGAGGGAGTAGGAGCTGGGGCTGAGGCAGGGGCAAATTTGGGTCCTGGTTGTATTCTACCTCTGAAGTTTGTTTTTGTTGCAAAGTTAAACGCGAGGCAGGCAAAGAGAGAGAGAGAAAGAGGAGATGGGAACTTTGTGAAGCAGTTTTTGCAGTTGGTTGGTGAGCGGACTGTGTGCTTTCTTTGCAAACAGTGGGCGCTGTTGCCCAACTACCAGAAAGCTCCTCTCAAACTTCCGACACGGTCTGCAGCAGCAGGACTAGGGTTTGGAGATTGGAAAGCAGGTGAATGTGTCACAGTAAAGCTGCCAGCCAAGTTGTAGCTGCTGCTATCGCCACCGTGCCGGGAAAGGGGACTACATTTCCATAGTGCCTGCGTCTGTGTTTGCGTGTCTGTCTGTGTGTTAGTCTGTGTGTGTGTGTGTGTTTGTCTGTCTGTGTGTTAGTCTGTGTATGTGTGTGTCTGTCTGTGTATTAATCTATGTGTGTGTGTTTGTCTGTGTGTTAGTCTGTGTGTGTGTCTGTCCGTCTGTGTGTGGATGTGTCTCTGTGTGTGTCTGTGTGTGGATGTGTCTCTGTGTGTGGATATGTCTGTCTGTGTATGTGTGTGCGTGGATGTGGCTCTGTGTGTGTGTGTGGATGTGTCTGTGTGTGTGTGGATGTGGCTCTGTGTCTGTCTGTGTATGTGTGTGTGTGGATGTGGCTCTGTGTCTGTGTGTGGATGTGTCTGTGTGTGTGTGTCTGTATGTGTATGTGCCTGTGTATGTATCTCAGGTCCAAACAGCTTGCTCCCGGCACCAAGCCGCAATAAACAGACTGACTATGCCACTGTCGCGTTAATATTCGGTAACGATTGAATGGGAGAGATTTAGGGTTCCACCGGTTAACATCTTAGACGACCCTTACAATGAAAACGTGCTTCCAACTAATTATTGGCGTGAAATTTCCACTAGTGAGCATGTGTCCATTTCTTTTAAAACTGGTTTCTTTTGTAAAGCGGATCAAGCGTGTGATATGGAACTGAAAGCTGACTAAAAGGGAATTTTGTTTAAGAAAAGTGATATGATTGAGCCGCTGTACCTGCAATGTATATCCTTGAAATAATTAAACAATTTCCCTACAACTTCATGTTGAGTCTGTAATAAAAGCGGCTAGTTTGGGGCACACAGTTTGTGGAGTCACTGTCTTCCCCGGTGGGGTAGGTGGGGGGGCGGGGGGGGGGGGGGGGAGGTGCAGGTGAGCTCCCTGCTCTGTGCCCAGGACTAACAGCAAAGATGTAAACATGCCGAGAGTGAGTTGCAGCAGCTGCCCGTTTGCAGTGTGTGTTTCAGAGCCCGCTCGGATCTAATTATTACCGAGTTAGATGGCGTGCGATTTCCCAAATCCACAACAAGTTTGTGTTTTGCACTTTCGGAAAGGCAGCGATATAACTTTGTGGTTAAAAAAAGAGCAGAAAGCGCCGTTTGGAAAGGCTGCAAGAATGATATATCAGCTGGTGTTACAATGAGTCACGCGGCAAGTGATTTCATAAAGATATTTTATTTAGGATAATTCAGGAAAGAATTGAGTTTCAACCCTCCGCAATATTCTACTTCTCGGCCTTTCTGCCACCAGAGTTTGTTCTTACCAAATACATTCCTACAAATTCTCTTTAAGCCGACTCGTCACTGAAAACCCTTAGCTCTGGCTAGATCTTCTCCACAAATTGAAGGCACAGCTAATATTTCACGTGTTCACTATCCTTTCAGAAAACTTAGGGAGAATCAACCTTCTCCGTAACTGTTAGCTACTTTTCTAAATGTTGTGACTAATAATGAGTACTGAACATGGCCAGTGAATTGACAAGGCTGTTTAGGGTCCCCCACTGTGTCGGCAGATTTGCCACTTTTCTGAAGATCATTCAGATTAAGAAATTATCATCTTAAACCAGTCGGAGACACTGAGTAATTGTGCAGTAATTTCACCTCGATGGATACAGGATGTCGAAAACAACACATTGCCTTTTCATCAGCTGGTCACAGCAGAATTACTGTCAGAATCTGTAGAGTCTAAATCGTGAATTCAAAAACACAGCGTTACCTCCAATTTCCTAAAACCGTACCATCATTTCGTCTTCGAAATTATGAATTATTTGTTTTCTTTGAGCCTGGTTTTCTGTTTGGGTCAGATTGCAGCAAATGTTAACATGTAGTTTGTGTGAGGACTTTCACTGATATTAATTACTTCGTTGTGATTTTTACAAAACTTTCCAACGGTATCGTCTGTTTTACACTTTTTTTTTGCTGAGGTTTCGCTGTTTGTCGAAGCTAACGGACGATTCCGCGTTAATCACATTCTCATATAAAAATAGACAGCACACCAGCAGCGACTTGAACATGTAAGATAGGAAAACAAAAAACGACACCGCTTTAGATCAGAATTTTCCGTTACATTTTAATGTTTCGCTGTGAAGGTAAGATAGGGAATTGTGATGCGGGGCTGTTGGCCATGGCTTTAGGTAAAATGAAAATAGAATGAGAATATATTTGACGTGGCAATGAGTTGGATGTTGTTGCGGGAGATTGTCCCTCTCCAATACCTGGCGATGTATTTCGTGAAGTTCTTAGGTCACTCTATGCTCGGCTTCCCCATACACCGTCGCTCTGCGGGTATTTTGAACTCATACCAGCTCAGTATCCTATGGTTCCGGGGTTCCCCAATCCGCTCTCTTCCTTCTCTCCACACACACACACACAACACCCCACTCCCCCGAGCCGCAGCAGATTGCGGCTAATTCCGACCCTGGGTTTTGAGAGAGGTTGTATTATTCCTGGCCTGAACTACAACTGGTTTTCGCTTGTAGTCTGGTAGTCCTCGCTGAGTGTGGTTGATCCATGCTGAATGCGCTTTACTGAGCACTGAAATGTCTTTTGGAACAGAGTAATTTTTTTTAACGGGGCATTAATTCAAAACTGAAGTATCTTCCAACCAGTTTCTCAGTTGCATAAAAACTGAACGATACTCAGCGCACGATTACATCGGGCTTGTGAGCTATCAGCCCTGTTTGAAAATTCACAATAAAACATTCAAGGGGAAAAAAAATCAGATTAAAGTATCTGAATCTGGTTAATAACGTGCACAGCGAACGGACAAATACACGAGCCGCCTGTGATTTTGATTTGAGGATGAGACATTTTAAACCACAAGCCTTTAAGTCCCAGTTGGGAGCCAGTCGCTGCTTGGTCCCATCTCTGATTCCGCACAAGTTAGAACTCGGTGCTTCACACAGGGCAATGTTTTCACTTCATTCAAGGTGAAGGGTGAGGTTTAGTTTTTATTTATAAACCCTTACAATTATTCTCAACACGTTCGCACTTTGTTGCATCTATCATGTGAAATGGAGACGGGTCCCTCTGAATGGGGACGTTTTGATTTGGGCATCTTGCTCTGATATGTTTCTCCCAGAGTCGGACAGTACTTTCACCATGTTTGTCTCTTTATATCCACCTAGCACCCACCCCACACCACCACCCCACCAACCCTCTCTCTGTCTGGATTTGAGTGTAAGGTTATTGTGCTCCAGGCCCTAGCTGATTCCAAATTTAACTTTGCACCTTATTTCCCCGCACAGAGTGCGGGCCGAACAATATATCCCTGAGACTGGGTTCATACCTTACAGTGTCCCAGAATGGGGACGGGGGTTGGGGCACAGGAGGGTGGGGGTTTTGCAGATATCAACATTAGACCCCCCGGTATCATTCCCAGACTCGTTAAAACAAAACATGTGACATTGCTGAAATCTTTGGCCTAGAATAAATAAAAAAAGCCTTTCGTTATTTTGCTTCATGTTGTTAAAGGATTAAGGAGTGATGGAGATGATGGGAAATTGATAATCAGAAAATGAAACTGCGACAGCTTTTGTTTTCAAAATGATTTAACCGTGTACTTTGGAAAATGCTCTGTGAGTGATGATAAAAAAAATCTCTGCTGTGTTTGAAAGTTGTTTCTGTCCGGGTTGGGAGTCCTCCCAAAATAGATCACTGTGATACCGGTGGGGATCTTGTTTGGAAAGGGGAGCGGGGGCTGACTCTGTGCCCTGCTGGCGAAAGGGAATGGGGTACATTCCAGAGAGAGACTGAGAAACTCACAGACAACAGGAGCAAGTTGTGGAAAGGACTGGAGTGGAAATTACCGCAGCCTCAGCACAGACTGACCGCTCTAGGCCGCAGTTTGTAAGTTTGAGGGAGCCGGAAGGGTCTGAGCTGTTCAGCTCCCCCCACACCCCACCCTCCCCACTAGCCCCCGGTAGGAGCAGACACCGATTTCCGTCAAGTTTCGGGCAATAAGAAGGGGTTAGTTCCCTGTCCACTGGCTTTTCCCTTGGGATGAACCCTGGCGAGAAGCCAGCCCTGTACAATGTCAACACTGAATATTCCAATCCCCAGACTACTTTTAACTACTTTCTAAATAAATAAACTCATTGTGTGTCTGTGTTTAAAATTATTTCACCTCTT